CCGCCGCAGTTCCCCGGCCACCACTGCAACCTCGCCATCTCCTCGCCCCCCTCGTCATCCCCGGCCAAATTCTCACCCCTGCAACCTCGCCATCTCCTCGCCCCCCTCCTCATCCAAGGCAGCTTTCTGTTCGGCGATAACTTTGGGGGCATACGGGTTGTGTGGACCTCTGGCGGCTAAGATCACCAGGGCCTCGTCCTCGTCCCCGGCAGCTCGGATTCGTCGTTTGCAAGGTCGGCACCCACGCCTACGTCACATACAGCAAGGTGAGATCCATATCCCCTCTTCACCCTTGTTCCTCTACTGTTCTTGATTCATATTCCTGAATAGTTCCACGTGTTCTTGATTCCTGGTTCTTGATTCCTGTAAGTAGTAGTACTACATGTCTATAATTCCTGCAAGGATTATCTCAGGAAACTGAGAGGAAGGGGATGAATTAGGGGAGTTGGTAGAGAAAGGGGATGAGCGACAGAGAGCATAGAGACAGATAGAGTTTCCTTTTCTAGATAACAAATACACACTGCATGATTATCATGGATGTTGTAAACATATATGTATTGCCTCTGTTTCTTTTATTTGCCTTGACATGGAGGGCGTGAACTAGCTAGCTTGTTAATTGATATTGCTGATTAATTCTAGGCGTTCTTGATTCCTGATTCTTGATTCCAGTTAGTATTAGTTCTACATGTCAATAATCCCAGCAAGGATTAGTAGTCAAAGTAGTGTGAGACCCTGATTTGGGTCTCACGGATTAATCATAGAAATAGTAGAGAATGAAGAACGGAGAGAACGAGACAAAAAGTGAGATTCAGACGTTTTTCTGCATATCACAATCGCCTCTTCAGTACATAACACACCCTGTAAATAAAACACACGCACATCACTCCCACACACAGTGTACACCTGGTCGTTGATGCTGTGAAAGTAGATACAGAAAGGACTAGTGGATGCCGTAAAGTAGATACAGAAAGTATATACTAGTGATTTACAAATGTAAGAAAAAGTAATCCAGCAAGGACTAGTGAGATCCACGTGACGTCTTGTTGATTAAATTCCCTTTCAATCCATGGATGTTGTAGGAAAGTAGTGCAGAAATACATCTTGAATTGTCTCCTGGCCGTTGGAATGTAATTAGACCATGACCAAATATTGCCTTTGTTTCTTTTATTTGCCCTGATTGACATGGATGGAGTGAAGTAGCTAGTGAACCCCTTCTCTGCCTATAACCTGTAACTATTATTATTCTTTGGACTGAAATATGTTAGTGAACCCCTTCTCTGCCTATAACCATGGTCTTTGCTGGTATGTAACTAGGAGCATGATTGATGATTGTTCATCTATATGTGTTAGATTGTAATGCTTGCAATTAATGTATAATTTTCTTGAAGAATGTCTGCCGATTGGAGTGACGATAACACTACGATCTTGACCGAGCTCTTTGTCCAACAAGTGCGTGCTGGCAATAGGCCAGACAAGCACTTGACTCAAAATGCTTATGAGGAAGTTGCGAAGGATTTTAAAGTCAGAACAGGCCTGGAGTACACCAGGCTCCAACTAAAGAACAAGTGGGATAAGTTGAAGACTGATTACAGCAATTTCAGAAAACTCAAATTGAAGGAGACTGGTGGTGGGTGGGACTATGAGAGAAACACCATCAAACAAGATGATGAATGGTGGAAGAAAGCAAAGATAGTGAGTCATGACTTTTCCTATTTGTTCTTATCATATAAGCAATTGTTCCGTGAGTAGTGATGCTAATTAAGCTTTGTTTTGTTGTATTTTAGGACATCCCTGGCTGTGGCAAGTTCCGTAAGCGCGGACTTCGAAATGAGAATAACTTATCTATCATGTTTGCTGACATCACAAGTGATGGTACAGATCACTGGAATCCTGCTTCAGGCACCATTCCCCAATCTAGCAGTGCAACTTCAGTTTTCAATGTGGACGACATACAAGATGTTGATCTGGAGGAGATCCAAACAGGTGAGTCACATGCCGATGGAAAAGGGAAGAGACTTGGCAGGTATGTGGATGGCAATAACAAGAAGCCAAAGACATCTCTTGTTATACAAGAACATATAACCAGAGTTGGAGATATAGCAGAGAGGACCCAATCCAGCTTTGAGTCATACATGAAGAAAGAAGAGAGTTCATCGATTACTTCTGTGATGGATCTGGTTGTTGAGTGTGGTGCAATAGTAGGCAGTGATGAATATTTCATTGCTAGTGAACTATTTGTGAAGCGAGAGCAGAGAGAGATGTTCCTGCATATGACTGAAAGTGCTGCTCGTTTAGATTGGTTGCGTAGGAAATACAACAGCAAGTATGGGCATTAGATGCTACTGCTGTTGTTTTTGCCTATTGGGATGTAATACTAATTTAAAGTTTGAACTTAGTTATGTACTCTGGTTTACTTGTAAGACTATTTGGGTTGTAACATTATTATGTTAGTCCCATTCTTCCCTTTTTCAGTTGTTTGTCTTCATTTACCTTGTTTCAGCCGTGTGTCTTCAATCTTGGTAATATTTCTTGTAATCTTACTTATATTGCTGCTATGACTCATCTTGCTGATGGTTACATGATAAATGTTGTTACATATGACTTGCCTTTAATGTTACATATGATTCTTACTTATCTTTCTGCTATGACTAATCTGGTTCATAATTAAGTACTAATTGTTGTTACTTGTGTATGTGCAGATGTCATCGGATAGTGACAATGATAGTGATAGTTATGAAGAAAGGAAGAAGAGGGTATGCCACCATGTCCAATCAATGTCCAACATCTATGCCGGTGCATCAACACTTGCAGGGAAGTACTGTGACAACTATTTGATCAAGGCAGACCCAAGGAATTCTATTCTCAGTGGGTTCGGATGGCTGCAGGAGACGGTCTCAACACCTGGAGAAACATATACCATGTTGAGGATGAACGCACGCCTCTTCTTTCAATTGCATGACTTGTTGGTCAAAAAGTATGGCTTCAAATCAACCTGTTTCGTAAGCAGTTATGAAGCGCTTGCAATGTTCTTGTGGACATTAGGGGGCTGCGAGTCTAATAGAAGAACACAAAATCGTTTCAAGCACTCAGGAGATACAGTCCACCGGAAGTTTCATGAGGTTTTACTCTGTGTGGTTAAGATGGCAGCAGATTACCTGAAACCTAAGGACCCAAACTTTAGTAGTGTGCACCCAAGGATTCAAAAGGATAGAAGGGCTTATCCACATCTTAAGGACTGCATCGGCGCACTAGATGGTACTCACGTCAGAGCTACCATTCCTGCTGGCGACCAAGTTAGATACATTGGAAGGTCAGGATCAACAACACAGAATGTTCTGGCAATATGTGATTTTGACATGCATTTTATGTACACTTCAGTTGGTCAACCCGGCTCTATGCATGATACCAGTGTCTTGTATCATGCAATTGAAGCTGACAAAGATACCTTCCCTCATCCTCCAAAGGGTTAGTAGTTCCTATAATAATTTCTTTTATTTAAATTCTGTAAACAAATCATAGGCCTTACATGCAATATGCTTGTTGTTTGTAGGTAAGTACTATCTTGTGGACGCGGGCTATCCTAATAGACCTGGATATCTCGCACCTTACAAGGGAGAAAGGTACCACGTGCCTGATTTTCAACGAGGTGTGGCGCCAAGAACACCTAAGGAGAAATTTAACAAGATACACTCATCCAAGCGTAATGTGATCGAGAGAGCATTTGGTGTGTGGAAAATGAAGTGGCAGATTCTACTAAAGATGCCCAATTATTCAGTTGAAACTCAAAAGATGATAGTGGCTGCCACTATGACCCTTCACAACTACGTTCGATATCATGATAAGGGTGATCTTCACTTTCTTCGAGTCGACAGAGATCCCAACTATGTCCCAACTATCCCTTCAAGGTATCAACGGTATGCCATCCCTCCGAATGCATCAGATGTGTCAACCTCGGAGGCTAGTGATAAAGACATGGACCTGTTCCGTAATAGACTAGCAACTAATATTGCTCTTGGTTGGTGACTTCCACTTCTGCTATAAATGTGAGTATACTAGTTTCTACCACATTCATGTGTTTTTATTTGCTACAGTTATTTAGTTTTTACCTTGCTTGATAAATTCATGCTTTCTCATAGATGACTGGTCGTAAAGTTAAACAAGTGAATGTTGTCTTCAAACATGTCGAAACTGTTCACTGCCTTTGTTAGTAGCTGAAATATTAGTCACAATATTACTTGTCATTTATTTCCTTGTAGCAAGATGCATAAGTCTAGAATCCAGAAGATGTTCTTAGCTAGTTCAATGACAACATGATTTTGCTTCTTTCACAATTGATGTGTATTTGTACGTATTAACAAATTTCGTAATTTTGTAGGTGAAACCATCCGAAGCAGAGTATATATGTTTTTGGTTCTATTCAAGCAATCACCAGCATTGCATAAAGGTTTTCATGTGTTGAATGCAGGACCTCCACTGGACTAGAGTGATGTCTACAAAGTACATGTGTTTATGCTGCCTTTGTTTGTGTTTATCTTAGGAAAAAAAATCCTATTTGTTTATGTTGCTAAAATCATGTAATTTCAGCAAACTCATGCTGAAGCGTTTTTGTGCGATAAAGTGAATTTTTGCACAAAAAAATTATGTGTGAAATTTCAGCATTATTTTCAGTAAACTCAGCATATTTGTGCATTTTGTCTGCACTGTGTTTTAACATTGGCACAACAAGTGATCCCCGTATTGACCAGTATCAAACCAGCTTGATGTGTTGTGGGGAGCCTGTAATCCAGAGTGCAGAGTGGAGTTAGTTGCCGAACAAGTTGTCTGCTCCTCATTTGACCTGGGGAGCTAGCAAACTAGGAGCTGGGAGTGGAGCTAAGGATCTGACGGAGTGGAGTGAATACGAACAGGCCCTAAGCGTCATTTATCTACCCTATTACCCTAGCGTACAACATCGAAGACATGCAAGTTAGATCGATGTATCACGGATTCCCGGTCATCGATCATACGTTTTGCTGCGGCTCCACGGCAGCGGCCCCTGCCTCAATGTTGATGATGTACTCGATCTCGTCGGCGACTTCCTTCATGGACGGGCGGTTCTGCCGGCGATCCTCGAGGCAACCGAGCGCGAGGAACCCGAGCGCCTTCATCGTGTCGAGCTCCAGCTGCGTGGCGTGATTCTTCATTGCTGGGTCCACCACGTCCAGGAGCCGCTCCTCGTCCGCCGCCCGCTGCACATGCACGGCGAGGTTGACATCGTCCTCGCCGCGGCCGAAGTCGATGGCGCGCTTTGCCGTGAGCAGCTCCAGCAGCACCACCCCGAAGCTGTAGACGTCGCTTTTGTCCGTGAGTTGGTAGTTCCTGTAGTATTCCGGGTCGAGATAGCCCAGCGTCCCTTGCGCGCAGGTGGAGACGTGGCTCAGCCCGGGCTCCGCGAGCCGGGAGAGCCCGAAGTCGGAGACCTTGCCGTCGAGCTGCTCGTCGAGGAGAATGTTGCTGGACTTGATGTCCCGGTGGTAGATGGGCGGCGAGGCGGAGAAGTGCAGGTAGGAGATGCCCTCCGCCGTGTGGCGAGCGATGGCGAGGCGGCGGCGCCACGGGAGCGGCGGCTGGCTCATGGCGCCGTAGAGGTGGTCGGCGAGCGTGCCGTTGGGGATGAACTCGTAGACCATGAGCGGCTGCTGGAGGTCGACGCAGCAGCCGAGGAGGCGGACGAGGCTGCGGTGGTTGACCTGCGACAGCACGCGCACCTCGTTGAGGATCTGGTCCGTGGACTTGGTGTTGCCGAGCTTGGCGCACTTGACGGCGACCAGGGTGCCGTCGGCGAGCGCGCCCTTGTAGACCTCGCCGTAGCCGCCGACGCCGAGGAGGTTGTCGCGGGAGAAGTTGGCCGTGGCGCGCTTCAGCTCGCGGCTGGTGAAGTTCTTGGCGGTGCGGCCGCTGGAGTTGTTCGCGTTCAGGATGTCCTCGCGCTCCTTGGTCAACCTCTCCCGGGCTAATTGGATGCGCCTCTGCCGCCGGTAGAGGAACAGCCCTGCCGCTATCAGTAGCAGGGCGCCGCCCAGGCCGCACACTATCCCTGCATTGCAAATTTACTGCTCAGATTGATCCAATCCAGTGACTTAACTCAGGAAGGAAATTCTCTCAGGAAGGAAATTCTAGTCGATTGACTTAAAAGCAGTTATGTGCACTAGTCGGCAACCCGTGCACCTGCACGGGTTAGCACTTTGGATATATATTGTATGCCTAAAATTGTACACATTAGAAATGTCAGGGCAAAATTAGAAAACACTCGTTTGAAATAATATTAGCTAAATGCATGTTACTGTTTTTCATGCATTTATAAATGAGTTATATTCCTTCTATATACATATTGTGTCATGGCGCACTTGACCACAGATTGATAGATGTTACACCTTTTGTTTGTAAATATAAGACGTCTTATATATAGGAATAGAGACTCATGTTTGTTCAATTCATTTATAAATATCCTATGAATTTGTAGAAGTTCTAGAAAAAGAATGAATGAAAGTCTAGATTTCATCTTCAGTTAGTGTTCGTGACATCCATGCAGAAGTGCGCTATAGCGATGTGATCATTTCGTTTCATGTTCGACCATATATTGAATAGTATTTTATAAAATGTCAAAGTAATATTCTATACATTGAACAGAAAAATCACATTGTCATATTTTATTTTTCAAATCAAAGCATGTAGGATGGATTATCTGTATGTTTATTTCTTAATCATGTAATTTAAATAAAATTTATATGAATATCAGAACAGATGTTTGAAGTATTTAGGTCAAAATGGAGTTTCCACTATCAACAGCACTCTTTAGAAGTCGCGAACAGTTTTGAAAAAAAAAATCTACTCCCGAATATTAAAGTGGAGTACTTGATATAATTATTATGAGAAATATTTCACAGTTTTTCTTTTTTCTGCTCACAACACATTCTATAGAATAATTGATTGGTACATATGTGGACGTTAGCATCAGCAGTTGCATCCTTCCAGAGAAAATACAGAACACATACTCTAAAAATATAATTCACCGCTCACGCATGCATCACGCAAATGTAGTAAACAAAAGAGAGAAAGGTTAGATGGTGCTCGGGCTTTATTTTCAAGGGATAATGCACAACTTTTTTATTTTGAAGAAAACAAAGAGAGACCAAAGAACTCCTGTACGGGGGATAGGAGAGCTGGTCTCCTGTTTCATCCTATGACTATAGATGAACCATATATTAATCGAATGGTCAAAAGGATTAACGTGATGTCTTGTATGGTGCTTCCAATTAGTAAATATAAGATATAAGATTTCCGATCTCCAATTTTGTTTCGAACAGGGCAACATCTGCGTTTAGCAAGCTGTGCTGAGAAATCTATTTTTTTTCTCGTCTATCCAGCAGTTTGTGCAGATAAAAAATGTTATACTTCCTCCATTCTATAATGTAGTGCGTATAGATTTTTGCAAAAGTCAAGCTCACCATGTTTATAGAGAAAAAAATATTCAGAATACCAAATGCATATCATTGCATACGTAGTGAGTTAAGTTTTCTTATTGTATATGTTTGGTATTGTAGATATCAATAGTTTTCTTCATACACTTGATCAAAGTTTGCTAAGTTTGTTTATTTTATAAAATCTATATGCACTGTATTATGGAATGAAGGAAGTATAATACAGGTGCATATATAAGCCAGTAAATTTAGGAGTAGCAGTCCATTAACAGTTTTGGGTGCTAGGTGTAACAAAAAAAGGCCCAAAAGGGCACCTAAACCTCCCAAAATGGCTACCCACTCAATTTTCACACTATCCCGCTTTCATTGATATTTCGATGAGATTCACTGACTTTCAGTAGTTTCAGTAGGCATTGAAATATTCAACTTTTCGCCAAAACATTTCAACAATTTTAGTAGTACACATGAATTCAAATATGGGGGTGGCAATCAAGTCTTAAACAAGTGACATAACATTAAGAAAGAGAAAGGAAAAAAACTGAAAAGAAAAATTTACATGGATCTCAATGTAAGATCTGACTGAGACATAACAAGGTCTCAGTTGACTGGGATTTAGAAAGACGATTTAAATATTTTTGTAGAAAATATTTTTTAATTCAAATTTTTGGTTGAATTCAAGTGAATATTTGGCCGAAACGCAAACCAAAATCAGTGAAATTTACTGTATTTCAAAGATTTTTGTTGTCACTGAAATATTTCTGAAACTGAAAGTTGAAATGACACTCCAACTGAACAACCATAGATGGGCGGAAAATTTGAGCTCCATGCCTCCCTCTCCCGAAGCCGGATTTGTGTCCATTCCGTCGTCGCTCTGCGTCTCCTTCTCGGTCCAATATGGCGATTGTGCTAAAGTTGCTCTTATGGACTTTTGGGAGGGGGCAAAAGAAAGATAAGAAAAGAGAAGAATTTTTTTATGTGTTTTAGATTCCCAATGATAGATGGATCTCATGTGCCAGG